GTGCGAAAAGGAATTTCTTGATCGGCCCATCAAGAAAGAGCTTCATGTACCACCAAGCCACCCACCCAATTCCCCTACACATCTAAAAAAGCCCATCAAGAAAGAGCTTCATGTGCCAAACAAGTCACCGAATGCCGTTTCATATCCGAAAAAGCCCATCAAGAAAGAGCTTCACGTGCCAAACAAGTCACCGAATGCCGTTTCATATCCGAAAAAGCCCATCAAGAAAGAGCTTCATGTACCAAACCAGGCACCAAATGCCTCAATACATCTAAGAAAAGACATGAGTATGCTCTCTCTCTCTCTCTCTCTCTCTAACTATATTCTGTTTTCACTATTTTGCCTTTCCAGGTCCAATAACTGAGTTCACTTGGAGATTAGTCTGGATATTGAGTTCGATTTTAACCGAAATGTGTAGTTTGTCTAAGAAATTTAGGTGTCTTGGTCATTTGATGCAGAAAAAAAAAAAAAAAAAANAAAAAAAAAAAAAAAAAAAAACGTCAACAGATGTTTCTAATGTTTGGCACCACCTCGAGTTTCTTGACTTAACAGAATTTTTGGCATATATTTCGAGCAAAATATCTAATGTTCGGTATATAGATATTGGACTAAATTTCAAAGGTTAGCTTTTGTTGCGAGATTTCATACGCATTTGAAATCGAGGCTACTCGTACGATTGACGTGTAGGGGAACGTGAGAAGGAATTTGCGATATCACACAACAGCCACGCGCCGCATTTTCTCTTGACGATGAAGCCTTATCACGCGAGCAAGAAGTCGTGGGTGGTGAGTTAAAATCGATTAAACTAGCCATGCTCATGTACGATTATTATTTTCAAATTTGCTAATAAATGTACGCACATGCTGCAATATGGTTTCAGCACATCCCGAGCGAATTCTGGCAGTCGATCAAGCTCGAGGACAAGCCGATCATGACTGTAAGAGATCCACATGGAAGGTCGTGGCCGATGAAGCTCAAATTCGAAAAAATTAATGGGTGTAAACGGATTAGAATTTGTTCTGGGTGGTACGAATTTTATGCATCAAATGGTCTCAAGGAAGGAGATGTTTGTCTTTTCGAGCTTGTTCGCCTGTCTCTCGAGTCCATGGCTGTCGTGATGAACGCTCGGTTTTCTCGTGCACACGCTCACGCGTAATCATAGAACTTTTTGATCATTTGGGAGTTTTGGTAATGATACTTTTGGAGAAGTTTGTAATTGCAAGCTCTTTTGAATGCCAATAGGCAGAAGAGAGGACTTGACTTGTGGACCTTGTTGCTTGCTTTGTTCTGTTATTTTATCATTTGAAATTAATGTATACTTTGGCTTTATCTATGGCTAAGTATTTAATTTATTCTGTTTTGGTGCCATGGATGTGATGAGATTGTTTGAACACAAATGAGCTTAAAGCGTTTTGTGATCTTGGGTTTTTTAAAGTCTCTTCATGGGCTTAAAAAATCCGAAGTCAATTTTAAAGTTAAATTTAAGTCCATCGCTAATTGAATTACAATCCTATATAACACCAACTTACGGTGCAGCTCAATGCCCTTTCGGTATCTCGGCGTCCCCCTCTCCACAGACTGAACCACGGCTAAGCTCTTCGATGGTATGATTGATCAAATTGATGGGTGTCGAATCCAACAATAATAAATTCCTGCTTTTAAAATAACTGTAGTAGTGGTAAGCAGGGTTGTATCCACAGGGATTGGCTAGACAAATTATCGATGCAACTATTCTTGAAAGAAAGAAAATAAAAATGATGGGGGTTTTGATGATTTTATCGAACTACGAAAACTAAAACAAAATAAAATCTAACTATAGAAGAAAACAAAACGAATGATTCAAAATAAAGAAAATATCCAACCAAAAGAAAAACTCGTAGAAATGATTCAACGATTCGATCACGGATGCAAAGATAATTCTCCTATTCTCGACTAAATCGATGATGGTTATTGGTACAACCTAACAACCAATCCTTTCATACTTGTTCGATACTCAGAATACGATCTCTAATCAACAGACAACCCTAGATACGATCGTAGGATTTAATTAATCAACAACAATGAAATCTAGAATGACCACCAATTCTAAGCATACAATAGAAAACCCTTAGTAATTAACTATGCTATTTGCCACCAATATTAGAACGATCAAACATCTACGGATTTAATTGTCCTAAGTAACAATATGTGTTTCAACAATCGAACAAATGGCCAGTTTGCATCAACAAATCAAAACACAATTGGTAATAATCACAAGAGACAAATAAATAAAAGAGAATAGGGAATAGAAATTCAATTAGATCTCACAAATCATGAAGAACCAAATCTAGAATAATACTTTGGCTGGAAAAATAAATTAATTCTCCATAAACATGGGAGAAGTCTCCCAATTATTCATGAAAAAATAAATAAAAGAAGAAAAGAGAAGAAGGGAAGAGAGAAGGCGTCTAGCGTAAGGTAGAGGAGAGAAAAATAGACAAATATAAAATCTATCAGTCTGGTTAAAACCAGCCTAATCCTAATCTTAGCATAAAGTACGTAGAAAATAAGAAAGATATCATTCTCTTTCCAAAATATCCTAATAAAACAGAATAGTCCATAAATAAATAAATACTCTATAAAGGTTCATTATTTCTCTTTCCAACTTAAAACTCATTCCTTCTTCCAACTCTCGTAGAAAATTACCGTGCCCACGCCTTAGTTCAAATTCGTTTCTTTCGCCCTCGAATAATCATAGAATTCTAAATTCCGAGATATCCTATAAAAATTATAAATCAATTAAACAATAATTAAGATCAAACAAACACCGAAAAAGGTGGAAAACATGACAATTAACATGCCAAAAATACGACTTATCACAAATTGAAGGGCAACTTAGTAGGTGGAATGGGCACACTCTTTCCTATGTCGGAAGATTTGTTGTAGCACAAATTATTATTTTTACCGAGTACTGAATCGAAAAATTCGTTCCCCGGGTCGATCTCACGAGGAAGGCGGTTTGGAATTCAGTTTTGGTATCAATCACACATAAAAAGAAAATAAATCCTAAACATACTAATCAAATAGGGGATAGAGTAATTACCAACTAAGAAATATCATAAAAATAATAATCTACCTAAGAAATACGAACGAAACAATGAAAAAGAAGCTAGGGAGTCGGGGATAATTAATTTAAGTTCTTGCAAAACCGGGCAATCAATTGTTCGGTTCGTGATTGACACTCTCGCTTAGACATCTAGCGGTTCACTCCCAATAACTCTTCGTAACAGGGGATGAAACATAGACGTACAAGCTCGAGCATACAATACATGCCAACTATCACAATCCCAATAACTTTTCGTAACAAAGGACGGGTCATCGACTCGCACGTATTTCAACCAAAAACCTATAGACTATTCAATTACGAAATCATCTATCTCATGTGAGCCTATTTCTACGACTTCTCCCCTTTCGGTTTTGAAAGCAGCTAAGTCAATTAGAAGGTGATTAATCAAGTAATCATATAGAATTGACAAACCCTAACTCGACAAATTAACATCCAGCTGTCACCAATAGCAAGATGGAAATGTCACTTTTTGATTATATCAATCTATCGAATACAAATTCATCAATTCCTCATCAAAACAACGCACATAAGAACGAACAATTTAAGCCCGGGAGATACACGTTAAACATGAACAATCATCCCCTATCCCTAGCAATCAGAATTAGCTAAGCAATATCAATTCAACACAATTCATCATCTCTTTCAATTAAACCATTATCCATGAGTTAAAAATAAAGAGAATAACTTACAATAAATCGCAATTCCAATGTTGAATTTGAATTACAAGCTTAATCCAAGAGTAATGGTGCAATCCAAGATGAATGATCAAAGTTTCTAGAGAGAAAAAGGGTGAAAATCGAGTTTGGAGTTAAAAATTAGGTCTGGGAACGAGTCCCAATGCAAAGTACTCGAAAAAACGAACAAAACCTAGCTTTTAAAAATCAGGTCGCGACCTCCGCGGCCGCGGGAAGCTCCGCGGCCGCGACTTTCAGCTGCAGTAGTAATCCCGCGGCCGCGGGATTCTTCCGCTGCCCGCGGTGAACAAAATTTGGTTGCTGCGCGCGGCTTTACGATTTTTGTTCGTTCGGGTTCGTTTTAACTCGGAATTGAGTTCTGTTTTTTTCTACGTGTCGGCAATGAACCCCTCTATCTAACTATGCAAACTCATCAAATATTTTCTTGAAAACCTGTCCTCTCGGAGCTTCTTACCTGCACACCAAAAACGAAAACAAAACCAAAAAACACCAGAAAGCAAACGGAACACACCACGACACTCAAAATAACGCAAAACACGCAATAAATGACAAAACGGACTAAAAACTAACTAAAAGACCTAACATAGGGGAAAAAGAAAGACAAAATGACAACGAAAAACGCAACAAAAATGGGACAAACAACTCCCCCACACTTAAACCATTGTTCGTCCCGAACAAAAAGAAAAGAAAACAAGACACGAGCATTGATATGATTTCAAATAAGAAGAGTCTCAAAATACCCAATTCAATTGAGTCGAATTCCAATGAACGTATGACCATATGCCTCAAATATCAACTTGACCTTGAAATGACAAACTCTCAAAACATAGATCATCTCATATATGCCTCACTCATTTTCTTACATGAATATATGATAGGTACGCTCAAAAATTGGTCAATATTCAAGTTTCAACATATGCTTGCCAATCGCTTAAATTACTCGAAGACAATCAAAGCTCAAAATATGCGAATCAAGAGGACTTCAGGGGTTGTAACGAGGGTTTAAGGAAGGATATATATGCCAGAAAAGAAGCTCAAATAAACAACAAAATTCTCGAGCAAATAAATTGCTCGAGTTCTCCGCTACCAAACTGGAATGAACAATATAGCACATCACCATCCATCAAACAACTCCACAAACAACACCTTACTGCTCTATCATCGAATTGCAAAATTACTTGACCAATTTTTTTTTTATTTTTTTTTTGTTCTCTTTTATTTTCACTTTATTTTTTTATTTTAGGAGTAACTTTTTCCGAACAAGATCGAACTAAAAGGACAACATTCTGTAGGTGCGAACATTGGAGGTCATCCAAGTGTCCTACAGTAGTTTCCAAATGCTCGTTACTCGCCAACATGAATCGACTAGTAAGAGGAGCAGAATCCATTCAATTCGTCCTGTGAGCTCTCATGTTTTTTTATTCTTTTTTTTTTTTAAACAGGTCAAGCAAATGAAATGCAACTCAAATTTCCACCATATTCAAAAATGCCACCAATCCCCCAATCATCACACAAATCAGTCAATAGGTTGACAAGAAAAGGTTTTAAGCTCAAAGGGCTACTAGTTGAATAAATTTTAGGACCAAAGAACAAGGCAGAAAGAGAGCTAATCAACAAAGCGCCTAAATCACTTTCGCAATTTTAAACTCTAATCAATCCCTTTCAAACAAACTCAAGGCAAGTTCTAATCATGCAAGAATACGACCAATATCTCACAAGAAGAAAAAGTAAGGCTCAAAATCTCACAAGGCAAATAGATGTCACTCAAGGCAATCAAGCAAATACCGAGGCAATGATACACATTCGTCATCACAACTTCCCAATCTCATCAAACATTCATCAACAACTCATATAATTCACCAATATCACATGCTCAACAACACAAAAACCTAAAGCTAGACCGGTCCACCACGTAAGCATGCAAAATCCAATAGACTCCCCCACACTTTAAATGAGGCAATGACCTCATTGCTTCAACACAAAACAGGAAGTCACATAAAAGGACCCAGCAATCTCATATAATGAACCAATCCCACCAACTACCAATAGAACAAAAAAGAAAAGGGAAAAGAATAGCTCAAGAAAGATAAAAAAAAAAAGAAAGGAAAAGGGTGTGCAAACCGAAGTGCCTCGAGGAGGATAAGCATCCATGTGCAAGCCGCTCGCCTATGCTCATCCCAGAACCTCGATATTTTCTTGCTCGAGCTCGCAATCAGTACCTGCCAAGATGGACACAAAAAAACTCCAAACTCCAATTATTAAAAAGATAAAATAAAAGGAACAATGAAAAATATCCTACGAAAGCAGTAAAGTCCTTGGGTTGCCTCCCAAGAAGCGCTTGTTTAACGTCATTAG